CTTTCCACTTTTTCAATCAAATTCTTCAAATAAGCGTCCTGCGATGGTATAGGAATATTCTTTAAAGAATAGTCGAATCGAAATTGTCGCATTATGAAGTTAGTAAGAAATGAGAAACGTAAACTAGAGTGCACAACCGATATACGGGTGCGAATGTACGAGTAGGTTTGTGTATACGAAACGCAAAGAGTGCTCAATATCATAAAGATAGAGCAAATGTAGAATTTCGCTTACCTCAAAATTCCGCAACAGTCTGTTTCATCAGTAAAGAATCATCAGGCGGTATGACAAGTTTCGAAAAATAGGGCTGCTTATATGTGTTTTGGCCGGAACGTGGGTGTGTGTGGGTGAAACAAAGCATGCATTCATCTATTGTTTGCGTTGTTTACGCGGAAATGCCTAATCGAATTGTGGGAGTGTATTGTTTGCGTTGTTTACGCGAAATTTCTTCCTATGTCTGCACGTAGATATAATTTCCATTCTTTTATTGAGTAAACGGTTTTGGTTTTCTTTCAAAATACAAAATTTTTCGTCTAAACATAAATTACATCGTTTTGATCCGCCCGTATACGAAATAGCGCGTTTCAAAATTTGCCAATTGATATTAAAATCTTTCTTGCTATCTTTCAATGTCCAAATATATTTCGAAAGTTCAGTTTTGTTCGAGTGCTCTTTATGCTCGAAAGTATAGTTATGGTTAGCCAAACGCTCTTTAAATGTAGTTGATGTCATGCCAATATAATTCATGATCGTGTTAGGGTTGCTTGTTGTGACTGTTGCTTTGTATACTATGTTCTTAGTCATGCATTGTTTCTGAAGTGGGCATATTGCGTTTTTCGAACAACTGCAATTGACAGTGCTCTTGGCCTGTGCCTTGTTCTTCCTAGCTATATGTGCAATGTGCTTGGTACATGTGCTTCCTAGCTATATGTGCATTGTGCTATATATATATATATATATATATATATACATATATATATATATATATATATATATATATATATATATATATATATATATATATATATATATATATATATATATATATATATATATATATATATATATATTTTGACTTTGAGCCCATGGGCAGCCACGATGGCGCCGAAATATGTGAATTAGTTGGCCTTTTCATCCTAAATCACCTAAGTAAGAAGTTTGGCAAAGAAAGCATCGGCCTATATAGAGACGACGGTTTGGCTCTTATAAAAAGTAAATCGGCACGTTTAGCAGACAAAACAAGGAAAGAACTCCACAAAATTTTCGAGCTGTTTGACCTAAAAATCACCGCCGAATCAAATTTACGCATAGTAAACTTTTTAGATGTAACTTTCAATCTCAACAACGGAAAATATAGGCCCTATAGAAAGCCCAATGACGATCCGCTATACATAAATAGGTACTCTAACCATCCACCTAGCATTATAAGGCAGCTTCCTACATCAGTTAACAAGCGCATCGCAATGCTTTCATCAGATGAGCAAACATTTATGGAATCTGCACCTGCATACCAAAACGCACTTGACCATAGCAACTTTAATCATGATCTTAACTACACTCAACACGCACCACAACAAGCACGCAGAAATAGGCAACGTAATATCATTTGGTTCAATCCACCATTTAGCATGAATGTCAGCACTAATATAGGGCGTAATTTTCTCAACCTTATCGACAAGCACTTTCCTTCGCACCACAAGCTGCGTAAGATCTTTAACAGAAATACAGTAAAAGTAAGTTATAGCTGCATGAGCAATGTTAAACAACAAACTGCGGCCACAATTCAGGAACTGCCAAGTACCCACAACATAGCACATATTTCAGAGTCAAATATGGGGGGAAATAATCCATCATCGTAATAGGACCCAGTCCCAGAAGTATCAGTTGGTGAACAATTGACAACACAACAAAGAGAAAACCTAGAAGTTTTAATTCGAAAAAATACGCAAGTTTTCGACTACCCAGGAAACAGTGGGTTCACCACAACAATAGAGCACACAATACCCACAGCCGTATCTGATCCAATTGTGTGCCACCCCAGACGACACAACTGATATCTGTATTATTAGCAAAACGTTTGAGGAACATTTGATAAATCTCCAGGGAGTATTTGATGCATTGCGACAGCATGGATTACGAGTTAAAGCTAAGAAATGTGCTTTCGCAATGAAAGAAGTGAAATTTCTTGGACACAAAGTTTGCAACAAGGGTGTGCAGCCAGAGGAACATAAAGTAAAGGCAATTCGTGCATGGGTTGCACCAACTTGTCTTAAAGAGGTGCAAATGTTTCTGGGTGCAGTTGGGTGGTATCGGAAGTTTATCAAGGATTTTAGTACAATTGCTCGACCATTAACATGGCTTTTGGAGAAAGATGTCACATTCACTTGGGGTAAGGAGCAAGATGATGCATTCAATACACTAAGACATGAGTTGGTTAAAGCTCCAGTATTAGCCCATCCTGACCCCACTCGACCCTTTGTTGTTACCACGGATGCAAGTAAAGTGGGTGTGGGTGGTGAACTATCACAAGAAGATGCACAAGGACAATTACATCCAGTTGCATATTTCAGTCGTGCATTGACCAAACGAGAACGTTCATATCCAACTTATGACAGAGAAGTGATGGCTATGCGAGACACGCTTAAGCATTTTCGGTATTATCTGTTAGGAGCACAAGTAGTGATGAGGACCGACCACAAACCTCTTCTAAAGATCCTGGAACAGAAAGATCCATTTGGACGAAGAGTGACATTGATGAGAGATATAGCAGAATTCGAACCACGCATAGAGTTTATTCGAGGGCAGGATAATCACATGGCAGATGCTCTTAGTCGGATCGGATGGAATGTCAAGTGGGAAGAGAGAGATGAGGATACTAGTAAAGTGGCTACTATTGGTGGCTCTCAAGACGAGATTGGTCCATGCAAGGATGTAAGTTTGGACATAAATGATTTCCAATTGCAGCAAGAACGTGACCCAACCCTTAAGCCACACATTTCCATTCACCGAAACGAACATGGTTTATTCACACGAGATCATAAGAAGCAAGTGTTACTTTCAGCATCGCTTGTTCCCACCATATTATCATTAGCTCATGACGAAACAGGGCACCAAGGAGCAGATAAAATGCTTGCAAGAATTGAACCTCATTATTGGTGGCCAAAGATGAAAGCAGAAGTAGAGAACTATGCAAAAACGTACCAACGCTCTGCTGCTACTCTTGCCCAGGGACATAGAAAAGCACCCATTCATCAACGACCAAAAGAAGAGAAACTATTTGCGTTGATAGAAGTAAATCTCAAGGGTCCATTCCTAGAACGAAAGAGGGATTTGACAATATTGTTGTGATAACAGATCCATGTACAAAATATGCAGAGATGCATCCAATTCAAGGACAAACCAGCCAAGTTGTTTGTAAGATACTCATGGGTTGGATATCAAACAACCAAACAAAGTGCACTCTGACAAAATTTACCAAACAAAGTGCACTCTGACAATGGACCTTGCTTCATAAGCGAAACATTTGAACAGTTTTGCATAACCCAAGGCATTGAGCATACTTTCAGTCCACCCTATAGGCCACAAGGGAACGCGGGTGTAGAACGGATTAATTGTACGATGGGGGAAGCACTCACAAAATTGGTAGATAAAGATCCCAACCGATGGTCTCAACACCTACCGGACGTACAACTAGCATACAACACAGCAGTTCATACAAGTACAAGAGTTTCGCCGTACGAACTAGTTTTCAAGGAGCACCTGCGATCAAAATTCGAAATTATAACAGAGAAGATATCACCAGCAATGGTTAGAGAGAAAACGGAACTACTGCACAAGACTGTTAGTGAGGTATTCCAAAAAGCACACGAGTCCGATGCCAAGTTAGCGGAAAACGCAGAGAACGGTACAACAGTAAAACTTCGTTTAAATCGTTGGGGGTGGGTCAACAAGTTTGGAAAAGAAATTTACGAGCAAAAACATTTGCAGATCGGTGGACGGGACCTTATGTCGTGGTAAAGCCCACGTCGATAACCAAAACATCTTATGTAGTGAGAAGGAATAATGGAACTAAAGAAGAAATTGTCCATTACAATTACCTTAAACCTTATCAGATTCGACCTGTCAAAAAACCAAAGTCAAGGAATCCACCACAGAAGAATGGGGTCGGACACCCAGCACTAGGTACCAGTGAGGACAGTGAATCTGACAGCAGAGAAGAGGAAATGCAACCAGAGAGAAGATATCCAGAAAGAATTCGAAGACCTCCAAAAAGATACACATAATACTTTTAAAGGGGGGAGTGGTGTGATATATGGACATTTATAGTTACATTGAAATAGATATTCATAAATAGCAAGCCTGGTTGCAGGCTATTAGGCATGGACCTTCGGGCTTAATAATTAATTGAAGACTAAGACTATTATTGTACATGTGTTCGGAGTAATACAATATATAAATTTACAGAGGATCTATGTAGAGATGTATATGCGCATTTCAGTCGAACTTCTAAAAGACAAGACGTGTACAAAGAGTTCCAGGCCTTTTTTAATGCCCAACCGCTCAAGATTCTATCACCCGCGCAGACACGGTGGCTTTCTTTACAAGAGTGCGCAAACCAACTACTTGAACAGTTTGAAGCGTTGACCCACTATTTCACCTTGACAGCCAACGAAGACCCATCACACTCAAACGATCGCATTTTGGCATCATTACAGAATCGTTTTACCCAGGCGTATCTGGAGTTCTTAAGCTATCAACTTGAGCGTCTTAATGCATTTAATAGATTGTTTCAGAGCGAGCGTCCTCTCCTCCACATGCTAAAACCAGAAATAGAAAGCCTTATCAAGTCAATTGCCTGTGACTTTATGAAAATCAACATCGTAAAGTCAACGTCGCCAAACAAGCTAAACCCAACTGACGTCAACCAACACGTACCATTAAGCGAGACCTACGTTGGCCTTGGAGCGACAGCTACTATCCACGAAATTGCTAGCGTGGCAGGGAAAGCTGATGTTGATAACTTCCTAACGACCTGTAAGAACCTTCTCATCGAGAGCATTCTTCAAATCCAAAGTCGATTTGACATAGATGATCCAGTTCACGAAATCATTCAGTGCCTTTTACCATCCAGCTTCGTTCATTGAGAAGCATTTGTCAGAAATTACCATACTTGAAAGATACCATCGACATTGACAAGCTTGATATGGAGTGGAGACAACATGCACTTGAGCCAAAGGCAAAGCCTGAACTTCACTGGGATGAATATTGGTTAAACATACGGGACACAACGACCCCAACAGGCGAAGCAAAATATCCACTGTTGATGGCATTTGTTAGTATTCTGGCTTCACTACCATTTTCAAATGTATCTGTTGAAAGAATTTTTAGCCAACTTAAGCTGGTTAAAACGGATCAGAGAGATTCTTTGAAATCAACGTCATTGGTTTCCTTACTTCAGGCTAAGATGAGAATGAAGAATGAGCACTTGACTGCTGCCAGCTTAAGAGTTCATAAAGGAATGTTGGAACTAGCAGCCAAGATGAAGTCGTACGCCACTGACAAAGAAACAAAGGAATTAAGAAAAGAATTATTACTAATAAGTACTAATAATGAATATTTGTTCGAAGATGGTATGACTACAAGTATGCAAATATTCGTTTGCTTTATTGTTTTATATCGTTGACAAATGACAGTGTTAACTGTAAAGTTTGGTGAACAAATTGACATTGTTCTGGTAACTACTGTTTATGAAACTAGTTGTGTAGTTGACATATTATTTATATTATTGAATATTTGACTCTTATGAAACTATTGACCCTTATAAATTAGATTTCTATATATAAAGTATGAGTTAAATTGTTAAATAAAGTTTTCAAGTCTCGGATTTTCTGCCGAGCCTTTCTTCCAAAAGTCCTAAGAATACGGCAATTTCCAAGGAAATGCGCTGCAAAATATGCTGAAAATCCTGTCCTGCGAGATGCAAAATCTGAAAATTTTCTGGGGGAGGACCCCCAGACCTCCCTGGTTATTCTCCTCCGTGTTAATCTAGGTAAACTATTTGTCTCTCCCCTTCGAGAATTCAGCCCCTGCAACGTCTATGTACCTTATAGAACAGGAAATACCCTGGTTATTCAAGATAAATTACTATAAAATCAGTTTTAAATAGGTAAAATTCAATAATTTTATTGCAAGGAAATTTTGTCAAAAATAAGGAAATTTTGAACGGTTGCAAGGAAATTATGTTTTTTGAAAATGGAAGCACTGCATGAATACGTATCAGTTTGTTTGTGTTTACTTTTTGTTCTTTTTGTTTTTGTGTAATTAAAATAACTTTTGTAATTAATTAATTTATATAATTTCTGACTGATTGCCTCCAGATCTATTTCTTTTTGCTTATTTATTAATAACAAAGGAGCCCAATATAAATAAGCCTCTTGGTTTCTTTTGGGCTACCTTGCCTTTATTCATATTTTATTAATTCTGTGTAACTTTTTTTTTAATGGTGAATAAATTGATTTGATTTGATAAGGCCAAGACTTTTGGGTTGACAGAATGTTGTTTCCCTTTTCCTCTCTTTTGTTTCCCTTCTCTGGGTTCAGGCTGAGAAAACATCTATATTGAAACCGAAAAAAATACAATCATTTATAAATAAAGTTAACATATTTCTATATGCAAGTGTACTAATCAAATCATCTTTAGCCTAACCATCATACAGTCGGTCATTATATAGTAAAACTGCCCACATTTCATCCTTTCCTAGAATACATGAGAGGATAGTGAGGCTGATAATTGGATTAATCAGTAACATACCGATAATCTACTGTAAGGTGAAGCATTCCTTTTTTCAGTTCCTAACTCATTTGGAATTTCATTGCATTTGCATTGTGATTGGTAGATTTTTCTTGACAAGTCACTCGACAGAAAAGAACAGGAAGTTAGAAAAATTCCTAAGCCAATTATATGTTCCTAACTTCCTGTTCAAACTTTGTAACTTCCTGTTTTGTGCTTTGTATTGCGATTCGTAAACAAAAACAAACTATCAATCACAGGAATTGTTTTCTGTGTTGGTGTTATGTACTCAGGTGAATATGATATTTGTGATGTTACTCTGACAAATATCATATTCACCTGAGTACATAACACCAACACAGAAAACAATTCATGATTAATAGATTGCATTGATATCGAAGGAACTACAATCAGTTTCAAAAGTCTTGGGACAGATGGCACAAAACCTTTGAAATTCAACAAAACGTCAATCCCCCCTGTTCAATGTTGTGTCCCATTTCTTGTCAGGTTTGATGTGTTTTGGTTGGAGCAACATTGATTGGGGTGGGGGGAGGGGGAGGGGAGTGGTGTTGTGTGTAAAAAACTGTAATGATCCACTTACAATCTAAAACTACATGTGTCCCAACAACTTCTGAAAGTGATTGTCTGGGCCCCGTATGCCATAACACCATTGTATATCTTAAAAGTACAGGGGATAGAATGCTCTGCAAACAAAGTATTTCTGTTCCATTTCATTCACAGAAGATCTAATATAACATTTTAAAACAATTAAGTTCCATTAAAATTCTCAAAGTTAATAATTAACAGGATATGAAATTATGAATATAACTTGTTATGTCATATATAGCATTCTTAATCGTTTGTTTTTACAAATTTCGGCAGAGCACAAGTGGGTTATTTGAGAGGTTATATAGTCCGTCAATATAAAGATAGGTATCGCGAATGTTTTACGCTAGATATGTCACACTTACTGTTAATTTATAGCATAGTAATATAACATCCGGTTACTTTCGCATGCGGGTAACAGCTGAGTCAACTGCTAATTTGGGTCTCCGAAGGTAAAGAACGTTTGCTTTATAATCACTTATGGTCAATGTGACATTTCACATCTTTCTAGAGCACAATTTGCAGATATAATTGTCGACGCATGGGTAGGAAGGAGCACTAAGTAGGTGGGAATGTCGGAGCTAGGCTCATGGAATGGGCGGTAGTCACAAAAAATTGTCCACAAGATCGAGGTGGCGAGCTATCGCAAAGCTCTAGAAGAGTAAATGTGGCATTTAATTGAACCTTTCCGCAGACAATCTCAAAAATTACAATTCAGCATATTCATTAGTTGTAAAGGAAGACCCCGGACTTGGTGATTTCTCCAGGGCTTATAGACCTCCCCAATGCTGACGCGTTAGAGAGTACTAGCGCGACCCGCCGAAGCAATAAAGTTGCACAGGCTTCCAAAAATATGCAACGAAAGGGACTCGCAGTATACGGCGTTGTACGCATTATACAACACTGACGTTAGTGTTATATGCTAATTATGCTAATAAGTGTTTCCGGACGAGACTAATGCAATGAAACTAACATCGGTTGACACTTCGATTGTCACTATAGAAATATGAAATAACAGGCAACTAGACATATTTTAAAACAGAACAAGGCCAAGAATGTCTAACAATGTATTTGCTATTAATGAAAGGATTTGAAATTGATTAAACCAAGTTTTGGATCGATTGACACTTTTTTACATAAATAAATCTGATATATCATAGTGATATTGCTAGAGTTGAGTGTCAATCGATACATTTTATACAATTTATATACTTTGTGATAAAGTAGAACCCGTAATATATCAATAAGCGCTCCCTAAACACGTTTGCTTAGTACTTAATGTTCTGAAATGATTATGTCGCGACAATTGAAAGTTATATCAATGAAAATGCTATGTGTTTCAAAGTGACAACCGAGCACGTGTTCAAGCCGTTTTATATTACATACATGTTTTCATGTCAAATATGCACAATCTTTAAGTGGTCTTCGATAATTTACCATTGCATTTTATTTAGCATTAACCTAGGTCGATAATTAACCAGATAGATGTGTTTTCTTCCTTGCATATAGACCAGGTTTAATCGCTCGGCATACTACCCTCCCCACACACATCTTTCAGTATAAGCTCATTTATAATACACTGCTGGATATGGGATTGTGTTACATTTCAAAGATATTGACCACAACCGAAGCACAGTAAGGAAGTTACATTACATATGCCAATGCAATTCAGTAAACATGTTATACTAAATGCTATATGATTTTCGCGAAACTGATATTCTAAAACACCCGGTAATTCAAAGAGGTTAAATATGCCTTTCATTGCCTTTCAGACAATCAGTTTCAAAAGTCTTGGGACAGATGGCACAAAACCTTTGAATTTCAACAAAACGTCAATCCCCCCCGCCCTCTGTTCAATGTTGTGTCCCATTTCTTGTCAGGTTTGATGTGTTTTGGTTGGAGCAACATTGATTGGGGTGGGGGGAGGGGAGCGGTATTGTGTGTAAAAAACTGTAATGATCCACGTACAATCTAAAACTACATGTGTCCCAACAACTTCTGAAAGTGATTGTAGATTCAGTTCCGAAATATCACATACTCGAACCGAACTGACTGCGTAGCTCAATTGGCAGAGCATTGGCTAGTATTCCAAAGGTCGTAGGAATACTTACCAAACACAGCTATGTACGGTGTGCTAGGACAGTTTTACACCACATCTGTAACAGTAGCAGTTTCCTAGAATGCATAATGCTAAAACTTAATTAACGAAAACTTATGACATATTTATCTGCACTATTTATCTACGCAATATTACTCATCGATAGACACTTTAGATTTTTGTCTATCACACAGCGTTGGTCGTACCTCACTGGTACAGGCATCGAGCAAAGATTTGGGAAATTTACTCCAGGGTATTTGGAAATTGCTGATCCATTGGTTACTTGTCTTTCTACCAGATGCACTATCATTTCCAGTATCTGATTGGATATCACTATCATCAATTATGTAATAACATGAAGAATTCCAGCATTTTCATTGGTTGAGAGCCATGATCTATTAAAGGACAGACACACAGAATTATGTTACACAAAACTATGTTTTGGTTTTTAAATAAACATGGCGGAAATATTTGAAAACCCTATTGAATTTATGCCTGACTGGGCAATGAAAATATTGAAGACGACCCTCGTGAAAGCTGTTGACAAATATGAAGAGCAACAGAAGATAAAAAAGACGAAAAGCCGGTTTGCTAACGTCAAAACCAGGCGAGTTTCTTTATATGAAACAATTGAAAAGCTCCTCTAAATTACAAAAGTCCATTTTAAAGACAGACTATTTTTCTTATACGTTTTTACAGACTGGTGTCGCGAAAGAAACATAAAGGAGCCCACTCATCGAAATGACAAATTCTGAGCTCGACAGAAAATTTTCCAAGTTTTACATTGAAGCAAGAACCCAAGAGGGCAGAGAATACAGTCGTTCAGCACTGCTAGGATTTCAAAATTCCATTGAACATTTCATAAATAACAGAAAGTCAGTAAAAATAACGAAAAACCACCAATTTCATCACAGCAGACCAACAAAATTCTCGATGCTAAACTAAAAATTAATCATTGTGCTGGGGAAGAAAATGTAAAGCACAAGCCCATAATTGTTCAAACTGACCTGAAGAAAATTAAAACGAGTACATACCTAGTCATGGATAATCCAAATGGTCTACTAAGACGAACATGGTTTTTTTATCTCTTTATTAGTGTAGAAGAGGATGTGAAGGACAAAGAAACCTCCACTCGGACAGCTTTCAATT